AGCTCTGCTATTCTCATGCTGGTACAGTTTTTACCCACTTTGAGATCACATCCTTTTTTCAGCTGGTTGGATATAAATTTAGTTCACACTTGAAGAAACTTGAATAAATTTCTTGAAGTTTAGTTGCTCTGAAGCTGTTCATAGAAAGCCTTAACAAACATAGCAACATTATTTATCCATCTTGATTGCTCAATTTAAAGGTAAAAAATGTGACATGGATTTGTATTCATCCCTCATGAATCATTACTAAGTACAGTCTCCTTCTGTTGCTTTAGATAAACTTGTGTTTTGGAGAACATCTCTAGCCGATTTGCACATAAATGGACTAAAGTTCTCTCTGTTTTTCTTAAATCTAGCTCTTTCTTTCTCTTAATGAAAGATTAATTCTCTTAATCTTAATGCACAGATTCACTGTAAAAACACAAAATCTTGTCAAGTATGTTTGTGTAGTTTCTTGTGCAAATACATTAGTACACATAAAACAAGACAAACCTATCTTAAAAGTAACTTTTCACCAATATAAAGGAGCTTATAGTATGTAAATAGTTTCTTGATATTGATGATGAGGTATTAGTTCCCTTAGAACAAGAAATTATTTCCATGTTACAAGTGAAAAGGTCTGCCAACAGAACCTGTGCTTCAATATTAAAGGAATATTGACTTAAAACAAGCTCCTAAATCTTCCTGAAAAGCTACTTTCAAATTAGTTTTGTCTTACTCAAGCACACCAACATATTTACACTAGAAACTATAGACAAAATACTTGGAAGGTAGCTTTGCAGTTCTGTCTGCAGTCTTGACTTTAGCCAGTAGAGGTCATTGAATCGAATGTTTAGCGACATTATTTTGTCGTTTTTTTCTTTCTTTTAGGCTCCGAAGGAGACGCTTGCCAAGTCTGTCCTGGCTGAGCTCCCTCAGCAGGTCACCCAGTATTTCAAACAGAGAAATCTACCGCCCATCAACCCGGCGCCGGAGTGAGACGTCCCCAGGTCCAGAGTCCACTCGCTGTACATTAGCTTGACAGATCCTAAAAATGTTCTTGTTGCAGGCAAACAGTGCAGAATGAAAGTGTGTATGTAAGAAAAAAAAACAATCTAACATCCATGCCATCATATTTTCTACTGGTTAAAGACTGTTTAAAGTGTGAGTTCAACAGAAGTGATGTTGTTTGTGTCCAAAAACGGGAGGTAAAAATTACCCTGACACAACAGGATGTATTTTTTATGTATTTATTCTGCATGTCAGTGTGTCATGTGACAGGGACTGTGTGATCCGTGGATCTCCGTTGTGCTAAATCCTTTCTTGAAGCCGAGCAGTTTGAATCCTCTCCAGGTTTTATATGAAGTAGCGATGGAAGCCGTTTGATTTTGTGCTCATGTGCAGCAGCCTGAGTCCAAACAGAAGAGAATCTCCTCGGCCACGACAAACAGAGGTTTTTATTTGGAAGTTGAGATCAACAGTTGTCTCAGAGTTGAGGATTAATTCCTGGAAGTGATGAAATGTGAGCAGAATGAGGCCACAGTGGCTCTGTAGCAACGTCACAGAGTAGATGTGGGAACTGATGAGCCTGTTCAACATGGAGAAAATGTCTTTGCTTTTGCACAATTTCTGTATTATTATAGCCTGAGTTGATCCTGCATGTTGCCACTATTTCCTTATTGTTTGCAAAAGCTGATGATCACAAATGCATGTTTGTTTTTTTTACAAATATTTAAACAGATGAAAATATTTAATGAAAGTTCAGAAAAGCGTTTAGTGACAAAGAAAAAAGGTTCAATGAGATTTGAATGAGCAGAAAGTACAGAGAAACTTTGGGTGTTAACTTTTCGAATGTATATTTCTATGATGCTGTTTCTGAAATTATAAACCAACGTTTCTGCCATGTTTAATGTAATTTTTATGCAGTGCTGACTTGTGCAATTAAACCGCAATGTGTATCGCTGTGAGTCTGTAGCAAACGTGTTGCTCTTATTTTCAAAATGGAGTGAATGTGTATGAAAAAGGACCAGGATGGAATCCAACGTTAATGCAAATGTCACAAAAATGATATAAAGAAGTAAAATTGCAAAACATAATTATGAACAAAGGGCAACATGAAATCCCCAAAAGAAACTTTATCGAAAGAAATGTAAAAGATGTGCAAACACTTGAAAAACGAGATGGAAAGTAATAAATTACGACTTTGAAAGCTGAATTGGTGGGATTTTGAATGAAAAGCCTCCAATCCAAATGCTTTAAAAAAAACAACAAAAGCTCTAAAGAAAACAAAACTTTTAAATCAACACAAATTTAGCAAAACTCCCAAAGAAAAACTACTCCACTCATTTTAGAGATGTTTATAAAGCCTTAAACAACATACTATGTTTACAGATTGAATTGGGAGAGCTAGTACCGTATGCGGGGTGTTTATGTATAAAAAAATGCAAAAGTGAGCAGAAAATACAAATAAAGAGTCTAAATAATCACAAGGAAACACAAAATGACACAATAATAGAGCCACTGTAAATAGAAAAACAGTAGTAAATTTCCAACAAATGAAATTTTCAAGAAAAAACAAAAATTCTGATCTCCAAAACCCCAAAATTTACAAAAAACAACTCATAAATTTTGAGATTAATCTCAGAAATATGCTAGAAAAATACATGGAAATTTCAAAGTTTCAAAAGTAAAAAATCTTTGACTTTTAAAACTCTGAAAATTTCCACACACACACACACACACACACACACACACACACACACACACACACACACACGCCTTCAGCGTCCATTTTGCTCACAGAAGTTTCAACGCCTGCTGCTAAGGTGAGACTTTGCAGATTCTGTGCTGCTGGTGAGACTCACCTTTTGATCACATCTATCCTGAAATTCACAGAACTCTCTTCTGATTTCCTTCTGCAGGTTTTATTTGAACAGAAGAGATAATTCTGACAGGATCTCAGCAGTGTGAGCGTAAATAAAACCTTTGAGCTGGTGGCAGCCGCTGCTTGAGCCACAAACCAGCCTGGACTTTTACTGCAGAATCTGCCAAGAGCAGAGAACATGGCTGCTGGTGACAGATGCTCTGCGTTGTTTAGTTTGCCTTCAAACTCGAATCCCCCACTGATATTATTCTTTGTGCATGTTCGTCATTTTATTTGTTGTCATAGCAACTCCTTTCTCAGCAACACGGGATCTTTCGCTCCATCTCTTGGTTACACCCAGAAACCTGTGGCTGCCTGCAGCATAATGGAGAGCTGACACGAGACAAAACAAACAGCTTCAAATTTGACATCAAATTATCTCCAAATACAACTTCAAGCTTTTATCCACTTCAATAGAACACAAACACTAAAGTGTTGAGGTTTTTTTTACCGTCTCATCAACCTGCTTTCGATCCCAATCAGCCAACGCAGCTCAACTCCAGACGCACGATTCTTCTGCCGAGGTCTAATGAGGCCGGGATACACATCCCACAATCCAAATTCACAAATTAATTTCAATACTTTTGCTCTTTCTGCCCTGTGCTGTTGTGCAGCACAGAGAGAAAAGTTACGTGATCACAGAGTTAGTGCTGAGGAACAATCCATGACACACGTCTTGATTCATGAATGTAGCTGATTATTGAACAATCTCTTCAGTCTTTCAACGTTTATTTCTGGAAATGTTAAGAAAAAACCCAGTTCCATTCAACCGATGTTGGTTGTCAGATTATTTCCCACATAGTGTGCTGTAAAACTCTGCTGACATTGCACATTTGACCAATCAAACTCAACATTTATACTCGCACCTGAAAGTGGCTGCAAACAGATGCGCAACTATAGAACCATACATCTTTGAAAAGCAGAAATAGAGCCTCCTGCACAGCCAACAAGAATGCAACATGTGGTTTCTTTATGGTAAATAAACAAACATCCTGTAAAACTGCCTACCAGCCCTCATTAGTACAGCAGCCACTGTACAGTTCATACAGCAGTAAAACCAGCTGACCAAACGTGCTGGAGCTCTAGTTGCTTGGTAATGGTGCAGTACTTGACTCCTCAATCTTCACTTTCTGACGATTAAGGTTTTTTGAAAGGGCTCATGTTCTAGACATCAAAAGACTTTAACTTATTGCCAAAAAGTGGCTCAGTGTTTTTAGACTGTCTGATAGTCTTTTGATCTTTGTTGATTCTTGCTTTAATGTTTCTCGTTGCGGGTCGGTTCGGTTAAGTTCAGTAAAAATGGCAATCAACCCCGATCTGAAGAAACTCAGTCAGAAATCTCCAGTTCATCTTTGTTACAGTTTAAAGGTTTCTATTGGCAAAAGATTAATAAGTAATATTGTTTTATCTGAATGATACTTTAGCCTAAACAAATGGCTTGTTGTTCTTTAACAGATTATTTTAACACTAAAATCATTATTTATCATTTGTTACCATGTTTTTGTAACATACATAGCATGTATGTAACATGGTATGCATGTAACATGCATGTATGTACATATGCATACAAAACATAAATATAATTGATTTTCTAATTTAAATCAGATTATTTTATGCAAATGCAAAAGAGCAGGGCTATATTACCCCCAAATCCTCATGATTTGATTGTTCTCTGTTAATGATGCCCATATTTGTGAGTAAATTTTGTTACTTAGCAGCTAAAATGTTAAGAAACCAGTGAAAGTGGAGGGCTGCCCCCCAGTGTTTGCTGAACAACTGCAGCTATTAAAGTAGATGCAGAGATGACGGCTCCTTCATTTCAAATAGTTTCTCTTAATGAAGCAGCAGGGTTTATTTAAGCAAGCTGAACATCAGTCCAACCTGTCCTTTAGTCCTGTGAAGTCTGTGACATCTCTCCATCAGTGGCCTGGAAAAAGTGACACATTTCTGAGCAGCCAAGAAAAGCACTGGAGCAGAGTGACAGAGACTGCCTGACCCAGATAAGACGGACCGAAGATGCATGGTGAGAGAAAAGCACAAACCCAGCCGGATTTCCTAAAGGTTGCTACCTCAATTTAGCAACACAAACTAGTAACAATACATTTCTCAACATTTATTGCATCCAAACACTAAATGAATAATTCACAGGTACATATCATGGAGTTCTAGGCACATCACTGGTATAAGAGGATAAAAACCATGTAAAGGTCCTACAGGAGATTTCACTGCAACACCCTGTGAATAAATGCACATCAGCCATATTGAAGTTTCAAAGAGAGAATATGGATTTCATGGCCCATTCCAGATGAATTTGCATCCTGGGTTCAACTGAAAAAAAGTGAAAATATAAAACCAAGTGTAAGCACTAAATGTTGGGTGATAACGTCTTTATAGGTCTCCCGATATCAGACGTATTTCCTAAAACCTTCCACTCAAAACAGGAAAGGTATTCCTGTATTTCTTTCTAACAACCACAGAGACGACTCCCTTGACGTCCTTCAGCCTGTCGGAGTCGAAGTCCACCAGCAGCTTCCTGACTCCGGTTCTCATCGGGGTGAAGGCGATTTTCACCGACACCTTCTGGCCTGGAGAAATAACATCGCTGGAAAAAGAAACAAAAGGAGAACAAGATGAGCAAGATGAGGTGAAGGTTAATTCTGCTTCTGTTTGAATCTGTATTTATTCCTTCCTACTCGACGTAGATGTGAGTGTCAGACAGCAGGCCGGCCCCCTCCAGGGTGAACACACCGCCAGTCAGAGGGACTGGCAGAGGATTGGTGAAGGAGATAAAAGCTGTCAGCTGTTCCCAAACGAAAGCCTTCCCAAGAACCTTGGAGAAAACACAGAAATTTACTTTTATTTTGTTTTACCAAGAATGTCGGATTATATGCTTGTGTTTGGGACATGGTCTTTGTGTTGCTCCTTGGGTTGTTTGCTCACCTGAATGTGGAGCTCAGGTAAGCTCAGTGGGATGTCAGCCACAGCCATGATGGGCACACTGCTCCCCTGAGCTTCAGCCAGAGCTTTCACCCTGATCAGGTGATGGTCGGAGACACACTTGGCGTAGTCGTCGTAGCGGAAACGCAGCACCTCTTTATGAGCTAAACACACAGAGCATGAGAGGAGAAAACAATCAGACTCTGCAGTCACATCACTGATTGTTGCTTCAGGGTTCTGCTGACCATTCTGAGCCGACACAGTCACGTTGTTCACCTGCCTCTGGCACTCCCCCTGGTGGAGAGAGTTGTAAGTGACAGCCATAGCGTGCACCGTCAGATGAACGTGAGCATCATCTCCTCCTTCATTCTTCACCTAGAACAGAACAGACATCATTCATCACTTAGAGGAGGGGCTTCAGACTTGTTTTCATTTTGTGCATGAATGTTCTTAAAGGGCCGGCTGAACTAGAATACATTGATCAAACTTAGAGCCAAACCAAAACATTGCAGAAGAAGAAAACAAACAGAATCCTGCCACTGTGTACCTCAACAATCACATCAAAGTCTGTTCCAAACACGGGGTTCGGATGTCTGATGGACAGGCTGAGCTTTGCCGGCTCTATGCTCTCATCGGGCTGCAGGGTGGCCCTGCGCTTTGCCTTCTTATAAACCTCTCTCTCTTCCACAGAGCCTGCAAACAAACAAACTATCAGTGAAACTCAGAGTCCTACAGTGAAAACAATTACACGCCACAGTGGGAAGAAGAAGCCTCAACAGTTTGATGCCTCGTTGTGAAACTGAATATGAGGTTCTGAGATAAACTGTAATAATTGTGTTAGTTTTAGGTTCTAAAATGCTTTTTCTGCTCAGCCTCTGACCCTCAGGGTATTTGTAGAGCAGAGTGACATCTTCTCTGAAGTCGCCATAAACGCTTTTGGTGCTGATGTTCCTCCCCACGTTTCTCTGGTCGGTGCTGATCTGTTGCCTCCGGCCGCCTGGTAGGACCCTCCAGTAAACGATGTCAGCGTTCACCTCAGCAAAAACAAACGAAGCATCGTACTTCACTCCCAGGTTTCCCTCCTTGATGGCCGCCACCGGACACGGACCGCAGCAAAACTCCCCTAAAAAACATCATTAATTAATTTAAAGCTGCTGTTGCACTGCAAAAACACAAATCCTTACCAGGTATTTATGGTCTCAATATTAATAAAAAATACTAATTATAAGTGAAATAATCTGCCAGTAGAAATATTTTTTTTCATGAAAATTAAATAATTATTGATTTATAAACAAGCTCCTTACTTGCCTGTTAGTGTTATGTTATTTCAAGTTTACTAAGATATTTATTTGCACTAGAAAGTAGGCCTAAAATACTTGGTAAGATTTTGTGTTTTTGCAGTGTGCAACAATATGTGAATTGGCAACTCAGGCCATTCAACTCAAACATTTCAAAATCACATGAGTTGAAGAAAGGACATTTTGAAAATGAGAAGAAATCAGAAATGTACCATCGCTCAGTTCTTGAGGTGTGGGGTCCAAAACCTGCCAGCCATCGTTTCCTTTCGGGAGATCGTCTCTCCTCATCCAGGACTCGACCCAACAGTGGAAGTTCCTAAAACCAAAAGAAAGACAGAAAAAATATCTTAAACTATCAGACGAATAATCTCAACATTTGCTTGGAAGTCCACTCATGGAAAGATTGACAACAATCTTACGTAATACTCTTGTGAAAGACATTTTCTCTCTGGGTGACTAGAAATTGTTTGGAAACCATCTTTGCACTGATGCCTCATGCATGATTAATGTGAGGGATTGCTGCACCATGCAGTGATGTTGGAGGAAGTACTGCTGCAGCGTTAGTGACTCAGTAGAATCAGCTGATCTTCCTTGGGAGAAAACCTTTTACCACATGGAGTAATAAACTTAACTTGACTGCATTATGTGCAGCAGTGCCTGACATCCTTCATTTTGGGAGATAAGCACTGACCTTACCTCACTCATCAAATGTCAGAAAATCAGCTGCTCTGCTGTAAGACAGGACCGACTATCAGGCTTTTTAAAGATCGGCCAGAAAACTGCAGTTGGTCCGTCCATTTATTTTCTTACACCCTTGTCCCCCATTAAGCAACTGTATTTTCAAAATGTCAAATTACAAATGGTCGATTTGTAATTTAGCTACTAATTTTGTTCTAAAATCTTCTGATGTCCATGAATGAAATAATATAAATTATGAAGTGTTGGCTGCATGAATGTCTGGATTTGATCTTACCATTTGCTGTCTGTTTTTTCCTCTCTGCTCTCAAAGTCCACCACAAAGTCCAAGGAGAGATTCCCATCCACATCATGAGCTGAGCAGAAGTTGGTTATGAGGCGCGTTGGGATCCCCAGACAGCGAAGAACTACAAAGAAACATGGCTGTCACTCTTTCTTTCTGTCGTTTTTCCTATGGATTTAGTCACTGTTCACATTCACTAAGAGGTTTTGGGAAACTACATCATTAGTAACATGTAGAAAACTTAAATAGTTTTAATGTATTTGTGGTAGATTGCTGTGGACCTGTTCAGTAGAACGGCTGTATTTACAGTGTTACCTGTACATGCGACACCTGCAAACACCCAGCACTGGCCGTATTTGACTGCTCTGATGCCGGATTTGCTCCACTGCCTGAGGATGGGCACGCTGCCCGTCCATCGATTTGGTGCGACTCCATCCAGGTACGGTGCCCTCCAGCGCCCAATCAGCACGCCCCTGTCACCATTAGCATTCACCTGCACAGATGGAAAAGACTGCTTTAAGTCTACAAAATAGTTTTTCTCATATTACAGTATGAGTGAACTAATATTCCAAAATGTCTTGTTTTAACTGGCATTTTATTTTTCTTATCATTTGTATTTTTTCTCAATTTTAAGGAATTGTTGACTTATAACAACCTCCTATATCTTTCTGAGAAGTTACTTTTTAAGTCAGTCTTGTCTTCTTTCACATGTTCGAGATGAAAAATACTTGTTAAGATTGAGTGTTTTTGCAGTGCAGCGTTAACCTTCATGAATCCGTCATGTGTTTTTCAGAGAAGAAGAAGAGTTCCTCACCATTGCAGTGACCATCCTGCTGACGTAGATGGGATCAGATCTGCTGTCGATGTCCGTCTTTGAGTTGCTCAGAGCCTCCTTAGAATTATCCAGGACTTCAAAACAAATGTCCATCACAAAGTCCTCAAACTTGTCCAGAAACATTATTAGGAAGGAAAATGAGATGAAAACAATTAGCTTGATGCTAATAAAATAAGTGGATTTAACTTAAAGGTTTTTTTTTTTGCAGTGCAGGAAGAATCGGTAATGCACCATCATGACCTCTCTATTGACCCTTTGCATGTGACATCATGCTACTTATGAACTCTGTCCGCGCTGCCATGACGGTCAAAACAACCTCTGTGCTCCTGTACAGACTGTGAAGAACTCTGGAAGCCTGAAATCACTTTTGTTTAGTTGAATCTACAGTTAGTGTTTATTGGTGTCTGTAAAATCAGCCGTTTCAAAAACCTCCAGATTGTAACGTCACAGATCAGCAGGCACTTCCACTCACCTGGCAACCGGAGTGAAGGCCAGCCTAGTCTGTTTATCACTATATGCAGTACAATGGCTGCTGGAAAAGACAAGTGTTTTGTTGTCGACTTATCCAGAATCCACTTGCTGGTGTTTTAATAAATGCCGACCAAACAGACATATCTTTTAGAACATCTTGGCTTTGCTATTTTTCAGATAATGCAAACAAAGGACATGTCCTGTCCGTTTGTCATCCTGTTTGGTCACATTCTAACACGTCTTGTCCAGAAGTCTCTTCTGTCCAACAAACACACTTTGTAATCCAGCCGAAACCCCAGAGTCGCCGCTGACACGCTGCTGTGAAAAGTCTCACATGCCAAACTCTGTCCTAACAGTCGGACACAAGCACTTCTTCAACCGATCCACACAATAAATGTCTGTGGCTGTGTGTGGGCGTGGTACCTGCCCGTAACTCCAGGGAATGCTTTTGATGTAATCCCAGGTATCCATGAATATGACTCCGTCTTCGTTCATGATGTATTCCTGGAGCAGCCTCTCGTCCGGCAGGTACACAACATCATCTGATACACAGACAAACATAATTAGCCACAAAGTTTTCTGGTCTTAATGCAGCACAAAGAAGAGTTTAAACATCTAATGTTTGCAGAAACGGCAAATCAGAAAAAGCATACTTTTTCACCGAGTCTGCTTTGTGTTATATAAAAACACAAAATCTTATAAAGTATTAGATTTTTGTGTAGTTTCTTGTGCGAATATATTAGTTTTGTCTTTCTTCAAGTGTACTAACTTAAAAATTTATTTTCAGCTAAATATATAAGCTTGTTTTAAGTCAACGAGATTTTAACTGGAACTAGAACATTTGGTCAATATTAAGAAATTATTGACTTAAAACCAGTTCATATTTCTTGCTGAAAAGTTACTGGTAAGTTAGTTTTGTCTTGCTTCAAGTGTACCAAGATATTTGCACTAGAAACTAGACAAAATACTTGCAAGAGTATTTTGTGTCCACAGTGACTCTGAGTGCTTAAACGTGTTTGCTCCTCTCACTCTTTGCTGTTTCCTCCCGTTATTTTTCCGTCTGTTTCCTGTCATCATTTTTTGGATTTCTGTGTTTGATCTGCTCTGGCTCCTTGTGTTCTACGTGATTTTTTGTTAATTTGTTCATTAAGTACCACAAAATCTACTCTGCTCCTCTGCCAGCTGCATTTTTGCCCACCAACAAACTACATGACATAATTTTTATGTTTGACAAATAATAATATAGTTTCTTTTAAATTAGTTCTGTAGGAAGCATCCTCTACCTTTGCACCAAGGGTTAAACAGCACATGGAAGCTGATTTCGTCAACTCTCTCCACGATGCGTCCATCCGGTGACATCAACAGCACGACCAGACGGTACAGTCCAATGATGGCGTCTGCTGGGCTCTGCAGAGTCAGCAATATTTCCCCCTGAGTCTCCTGCTGGTGAAACCACCAGCTGTCTCTGGCCCCCTGCTGCTTTTGAACCTTAATCACCACTTCGTCTCTTTTACCTATATAAACACAAAGTTTTTAGTCAGTGCATGTTGATGATTCTTTTTTTATTATCAAGAAACAAGATGTGGCAGCTTCTCGCCTTTACAGAGAATATGAGAAAACATAAATCTGTGAAGAAACTGTGTTTTTTTTCTTTTGACAGCCAATGAATCCCACAAACATTGTGTGCAGAAAAAAGAAATTTGGCCACATTGATGTCTATTGGGTCAAGATGAGCATTTTCTCACTCCTACCAAACAACTGATCAGCCCTCTGTCAGCCGCGCTGCTGTGATGATCAAACCGAGCCTGTGAGCGCAGATAAAAATGACTCCATCTTTGTTGCCAGGCTTTGAGGTGATCTGAATAAATTTGCAGAAATAACGGCGCTGGGTTTCCAGTCTCGCTCCACAAGAACTAAAATGACGCTCAGGTAAGACAAGAAACAGAAGAGGCATCTGGGAAACCTCAGATGCCTGAGGTCTTTTTACTGACACTGGAATTTAAGGGCGAGTTTCTTCACTGTTTCTCAGCCTGAAAACATCCAACAGCTTCTGTTTTTGTCTTTCTATGATATCCAATCTCCAGTTTTCCTGCAAGATTCAGCTCCACTGTCTTACAGCATGACAAACATTTCATCTACATCTAAAACACACTGAAAAACACAAAATCTTGCCAAGTAGTTTCTAATGCAAATATCAGTTGAAATAAGAGAAAACTAAGATAGAAAGAACTTTTCAGCATCAGATAGGAGCTTGTTTTAGGATAATAAATCTTGAATATTGATAAAAAGTTCTAGTTACACTGACACTACACTAGTTATACATAGATATATATTGCTTGTACTTTAGTTTCTTAAAGACAAATACTTGTTAAGATTTTGTGTTTTTGCAGTGTAGTGACTGAAGAGCTCTCTGATTGGTCGGCTCACCCAGGTGCAGGACGAGCTCCAGCTGGTGTTTGGGGGGCAGAGAGTCAGAGCACTGCACGGTTATGGAGAAGGGCTGCCCTCTGCGGACGATCAAGCGCTCCCGATCGATCTCCCTGGTGCGGTGAGCCAAGTTGTTCTCATGGCTTCTCAGGTCCACGTCCACGATAAAAGCTGATCAGAACCAGCAGAGATGAGTTACATGCATTTTTTCTTTGACAAAATAAAAACTGCAAAAACACAACTTTTCACCAAGTATCTTTAAGTTGTGTAAATATATTAGTAAACTTAAAATAATTACTTTTCAGCAAAAGTAAATAAATCCTCAATATAGATGATAATGTACTTTTTCCACTGGCAGATTGTTTCACTTTTAAATTGAAACAAATTTTCAGTTTAAAAGTTGAAAATTTGACTATAAGTGAATAATCTCCCAGTAGAATAAATAGTTTTTTTTTTATCAATATTAAGGGATTATTGACTTAAAACAAGCTCATAATTCTTGCTGAAAAAGTTACCTGTATATTAGTTTTGTCCTATTTCAAACATTCTTAGATATTTGAACTACAAACTAGACAAAATGCCTGGTAAGATTTCGTGTTTTTGCAGTGAAGAATCACTTGTTAACACCTGTTGAAAGTCGGATGGCTACAGGTTTGGTCTAGAGTGGATTCTAATGGATCAGTTGTTTGATTGTGTGGCATAGAAATGAATGCAGCTTTTCAACCAGTCTGATTATACTTCCTGTTCTTTTCTCCCCCCAAAGCTGTTTTCTACCCAAAAGCCTGGAAAACAGACCGGAGGAAACTCGCTGGGCTCTTATTCTATCAGTACTTGAGTTCTCAAACACTTTAGTCAGTTGCTGTTTTTAAACCTGCATTATAAATAGGCTGGGCACAGATGCATTTTTGAACCAGTGATGCTTTATTATGAATATTTTACATAATAAGAAACACAGAGCTTGTTCTTGCTGTTGTTTATGTGCTAATCTACTGCAGATCCCAGTAGTGTTGGGGATTTTCTGGGGTTGTTTAATAGTGTACCTATTGCACCCAAATTCTTCTCATTTGAAATAATTCAAATCTAAAATAAAAGTGTAGAAAGTCCCAGCCATGTTGCAGCCAGGGTCGCTCTGAGTTACACGAGGTGACCTGAAGGTCAACTTACTCAGTCGAATCTTTGCTCTCTGAATGAAAAGCTGTTTTTTCCTTTGTTGCAGGAATAGGTTTGGTCACACCGACATATCGACTCATAAATTAGACCATTTTTTTTTCACATACAACACAATCTCCCCCTGAATTATGCACAGTGATAATTAATAATAGTGAAGTGGTCACTTACTGCTGGGGTCGGCCATCGCAGGTTCTCTCCTCTGTTCCTCTCTTCCTCCTCCTGGGTCCAGTTGGGTTCAGTATTTATACAGCTGAGGGTCGGCCCTCCCTCCTGTCTGACACACACACACACACACACACACACACACACACACACACACACACACACACACACACACACACACACACACACACACACACACACACACACACACTCCTCGACTCACCCTCACCTCCTTCTTTGACCTCTTTGACCTCTGACATCATTTCTCAAAAAGCTGAGCTCCTCTGTGGGTGTGTGCGGCGGTTTCTCACTTTCATTTCCCCTGACACACACACACGACTCTTTGCTGCATTGCAATAGAAACATTTCTGTATGTTTCACCTTTGAGGAACATTATGGAACATAATCTTTTGGTTATTTAATTTATTTTGTTTATTTAACCTTTATTTTACCAGGATACAAAAATTAAAAAAATTCCAAGGTAGTCCTTGCCAAGAAGCAGCAAAAAATACAACATCTCTGCCAAATTAAAATTTTAAAAGGGGAATTGTTCTTATAGCTTTATGAGATGTAGCATTTTGGGACCTAAAAATAGTTATTGTTAATTTAGAGGTGGCTGAAGGGTTAAAAGCACATGCAACATGCTCTCTGCTCCAGTAAGCAGAGGCGCAACAATAACTAACGTTTGGATTACATTATCTATGAGCTCTGGCTCTGATCGTTATGAACTCTTGTATGTCAACCATTTCCTGTACAGGAGGTCAACAACGTACAGCCTCAACAGTCTCTGCTTATCTGGACATTGACCAAAGACGGATCACAGGAAAATATGCAATAATATATGTGGAAACAGTTTGTCCTAAAACCTTTTACTGTAAATCATCAAATATTTTGGAAATGAGAAATCTTATGTGGAAAATATTTTTTCTCTTGTTTGTTTATATATAATGTGTCCGTAGATTTTTACCATTTTTTAACAGTTTTATAAACTTCATAAAACAGTGTTACAAAGACTTTATTTTGCAACAAAATATTTTAAACGATATCATAACATCATTGTTGAAATCAAAACATTTCTAGAACTGTACTGTTATTTTTCACTGCTATTTCTATACAAACCAGAAGTTTACATACACATAATAAAACAGACAAATAATTACCAGGATAATTTGTGTTTGCTAACTCCTATTATCTCAAATGAGTCAGCTGACCTATCAGAAGTTTCCAAAGATATGACATCATCATCATCTGGGCTTTCTCTAAAGCCCAGATGATATTCATTCTGGATGCAAACTTCTGATTTTAAGGGCATGAATAAATAAATCTCTCTTTTTTTTATTGTGGCTTTTTGTGAGTACAAATAATTTAGATAATTGTTCTGATCTTTGTTCATGGGAAGATAATGTAAGAAGCTCTGCAGCTGCAATGAGCAGATCTGAAACGCTGCTGTTTGTGTTGAGTGAGCAGCACTTTAGTTCATGATAGTCATGGCCGAGTCCCAAGCAGAGTCCCAGCAAAAAAAAAAGTGTACAGCTAATGGAATGACCTAAATGAAGCTTTGACCTGAAAAATAATGGTGAATATAAAAACCAATACAAATCTGCACCTAATGGTGCAGAAATGACTGCAAAGACCATCGGCAAGGAGATCAGGACTGCATTTTACTGAAAATATGAATTTCTCTGTCTGAAATGTGTTTTCAGACAGAAAGAAACAGAAACTATACACTGTGGTTTGACTTTTACAACCAGTTTTGCAGTCACAAATTTTTTGTTTGTGACTGTAAACAAAAAATACAAATAATGAAAGGATAAATGCTGATGCTTCCAGACATACTGTCATTCACTTTTCCTGTTTGGGTTTGTACCTTTTGTGCCACAGGCAGGATGTTTTTAGCATTTTGCTGCAGAAAACTGCTGATTAACACGTCTTCTAGAGGTTGCAACACTGTTGAATGTGATACAGTTCCTGTTCTAAAATAAATGTCAGTCTGGCAAACACAGATGCCATATCTGACCTGCATAAATCCTTAACCATTTTGGGACTTCAGTAAAGAAAAAAAGATCTCCAGCTACAGCACAGAAAGAATGAACTTTACAAAGAAAAATCTAATTGTGGGAAATATGTCATCAAAACAGATTGATTTTCTCCATTTGAAATTTTCAAAAAATGCTCCGACTGTTTGAATCAAAGGTGAGCAGCTTTCCCTGCAGGTGAGTTAAACAAGTATGAAACTGCTTGCAGGAGCTCCACAGATGTTGCTTTGGTTACTGTAAAGTCATCCCCCATGTTTCATATATGATAAAGTAGTAAAGACTCTCCCTAAGGCCAGCGAGATAAACTCCACCAAGGAATGTTGAAACAGATGGAGGAAACTAAAGGAAGTTGGCCAACCCATTCCTGTTACTACATCCTAAGAAATCAAGTTGTTTTAGTTCATAATCTCTGCCTTAAAACAATAAAAAACATCGATCAGCCTTTGTTCGTTGCCAATACACACACGGTGTACATACACCAGAAACCTGCTAAGAACAGTTAGAGTGAGGTGAGTTGGTGGGAGGGATGAGGAGTTGACTGGTTCAGTTTCCTTAGACTTAAAGTTGCTCCTGTGTTACATAAGAATAGATGCTGCATTTCTTTATTGAATATAATCACATATGTAAAGAGTTGGGCATGTTTTTCGGAGTTATTCGAGTTCAACAACACTTCCTACAGTTTGCATCTTGTTTGTTCTACCTTGAAGCCCACAGGAGAACCTTCCAACATCGCAGAATGCTTTAAACATTTCTGCATGTGGTCCAGATTTCCCACAGTGGTTTGCAGAAGTGAATATCTGTAACGTTGCGCTTCCAAAGTTAAATAGGACTTATTATGCAACATTCACATTTTTATTTCATTTTTTATTCTATTTCAGTCTGTACTGCTTCTAGAAACAGAAAAAGTGCTTAAAAAACATCCGGCCATGTTTTTTGGTGTCTGAAAAATTAGCCGTTTCAAAAACCTCGAGAATGTAGCATCACAAATCAGCATGTGCTGCCTGTTACCGAGCAACCCCAGCACCTTTGGTTCAGCTGTATGCACTGTATAATGGCTGCTGGAACAAACAAGTAGTTTCTTGCCAACTTAACTTCTAGAAACCACTTGCTGCATTCTTGTTGGCCGTCCAGAAGGCTCCACTTCTGCTTTTCACAGAAGTATAATAGCTTAATTTGCTGTAATTTTAACATGTGAGTGTAAACATTGAGTTGAGTTTAGATGTAAAGCAGCTCATCATGCAAGGAGACTTTTAAATATTTCAATAGCCATTCGGAAGAGGCAGATGATGTAAGTGCATCACCAGTCGTACTTAATTCTGAACATTATTTTCTCAACCTACAAACCGATGTAGAAAAAATCAGATTTGAAGAGTGTGTGTGTGTGTGTATTTGTGTGTGTGTGTGCGTGTGTGTGTGTGTGTGTATTTGTGTGTGTGTGTGCGTGTGTGTGTATGTGTGTGTGTGTGGGAGAAATGCAAGTCTCTGGGTCTGGGTGAATGAATAGCAAAGCTATGAAATTGGGTGGTGGTCATGTTCGGGAAAAGCCGGACTTTAGCTGACCTCGGCTTCCTGATCGCATTGTGGTGTCGGCAGAGGGGGCTTTCACCTTCTTTCTTGATAGAAATGTTGGCTGCATTCCCAGAACATTTCAGAGCGTTTAACATTCCAACAGAAAATGATGACAATTAGAAACAATTTAAAAGAAAAATAAACGACCTAAAATGCAAAAAATAAACAGAGCCCCACTGCAGTAGGTGTAGCTTTTCTTTTTTTAAAGAGAGAAAGGGAAAGATGTTCATGGAGGGTTGTGATGCTCCCACTGGAAGAGTTATGGTTTCATTTTCAGCGTTTCATTTATCGGAGTTCTTTTGAAACCAGGGAACATTTTGTGCATTAAGTTCACTTGTGTATTATTGTGAAGCCAAACAGCCCAATAAATCATGTCTGTGCGTGAAATCAATTTAGAAAAAATATCATGAAGTGCATTGTGAATTTATAAAGCCCTGCAATTACATTTAGTCCAAAGCAGAGTAATGCTCGCCATTGGCAGCAGAGGGCGCTGGTTTCCTGCATTTACCAGTGAAACACTTCTCCATGTAAAGTATTTTTACATTAAATTTGTTTCACTCAATTTCAAACATATAAGTAATGATAGATTTGCTGTTCTAAATATGCTGAAAGTCTGGTATTAGTTTCAGCAATGTGGAACTTTAATGTAACATTTTAACCAACAATTGACAGAAATCAAGGAAACTGAAACGTCTGGACTGTCTGTTTGTAAATGAATAATTAAAATTGGCTGAATGCAGCTCAGGGTTTCCACAGACGATTCTCATTTCTGTTGCTGGTAACAAAATAAAAATGGTATCTTAATCAACGACTTAATTCTTAGCATTAAGTCTAGTTAGTAAACTGAACAACTTTGTCACCCTTTCTGACTTTCTTAATGAAATTAAAAGTTGTAGCAGAGCAGATAAAAAGAAAAAAGAATCACTATAGAGTCATTTAGCATTTTAGCTGAAAAAAAAAAAAGAAAATCAATCCTGAGTTCTTTTATCTTGGTGATTTTTGACCATCAGTGCAAAAAAGTTTGCAGTATTTACCTTTCACACTAAAACATTTGGGCTGCATTTGGTAGTGTTCACTCTAAATGTCATGAAGCAGAATTTATTGTGATGTTTCATAAAGTTCATTATCAGATTAGAAATTTTTTACATGCAATTTGAAACAAGAATTTAAATGATTCTAAAATAAAATTAAATTGATGTTGAGTAAAAATAATAGAGAAATGTGTGTCCTTTAACTAGAGGAGGAAAGCCTTTTTCTTGCATATTGTGAAATAATTATTTGGTTTAAAATGCAGCATTAGGTTAAAACTCACAATTCGAGATTAATGAACTAATAAACAATGTTTAGACAACATTGTTTTTGTCTCTTGTTGTTAAATCAACTTTATGAACTTTAATTTCTGAGTTAAAACCAAATGAATTTTCTTGTTGACTTAAATTGCATTTTCA